CTGCATAACTTTCTCCTTGCACGGCCATTACAAAAAGAAAACATTTTCCCTCATTGGTTTTTAAGAATCTGCCTCAGTGGGCAAATAAAGTGAAGAAAACATTTTTGGAGTTGATTTGGATGAGAAATAGCTGGCTTTGCCTTTGGATAAATTTAAATAAATCCTAATCATTTGTCAATGCCATATATAACATGTCATATTGTCTGAGTGGGATAGTGTAAATTGGTGACTTGCAACAGTAAGCCTTCTTGGCCCCTTCCGTGATATATAGATTCATGTCCAACAGGGCCGTCTTAACAGCATTATGGGCCCCGGGCAAAGCAGTGTACTGGGGCCCCTACAACTACGGTTAATTTTGGAACTGGGGCCCTCCACCAACTGGGGCCCTCCACCGACCACTGCCGCCGCACACCACGAGGCCGACCCACGGACCTGCCGGACCGTGGAACCATTGACGCCGCTGACCAACAGATGGACAGCGGCCACCACAGGACTGGGACTGGGGGACGTCGCAGCCGGACTGCAGGCCCGCCATCGCCAGCCACCGCCATCTTGCCGGCGAATTTCTCCGCAGCCGCCCTTGCCCCTCTCCCCCGCCAGTGTGGGTGCCAGCTGCACCGGATTGGGGGCAGGGCACAGGGACGAGCCGCCAGCTTAACTTGCCAGACAAGGCTGGGCCGGAGCCGGAACTGGGGCCCTCCACCGACTGCCACCACCGCGCACCACAAGGCCTAAGGGCGTCATCGCCGTTTGGGACTGTTTGGGGCCGTACGGGGGCTGGGCTGGCCAGAGACTTTGTTCGATGGAGTTTTGTATTGGGTGGTTGGTGGGTTTCTAGGGTTTTATTGTATTTTAGCTTAGATTTTTAATGGATTCACTCCTGACTACTGCCATGAGTTTGCCTGGGGAGCACATGGGCGCTACCATTGGGGTGGTCTTGGGCAATGGTCATTATGGCGTTGGGGTTTAACAAGTTGGTGTAGAAGGAGGGACAGATGGTTGACACCTGTTCCCCCTTCTGGTTATTCCCCCAGCCGGAGGGTTCCAGGTAGGCTTATCAACCACCCTTTGGGCCTGACGGTGCTGTTGCTCAATGCCAGTCTGGACGGTGCTGTTGCTCAGTCCACAACAAAACATTCCTCATCCACGACCTAATTGTGGATGAGGGGGCCGACCTGGCTTGCATAACAGAGACCTGGGCAGGAGAGCAGGGGGATGTCTCTCTCTCTCTCAACTGTGCCTGCCTGGGTTATCTGGTCCAGCACCAACCGCGCCTGGAGGGGAGGGGAGGGGGGTCGCTTTAATTTACCGAGCCTCCAACTCCCTCACGGGGCTTCCTGTTCTTTCGAAAATGGGTCTAGAGTGCCTCTATTTGGCGCTGGGCGACTGAGACAGATTGGGGATTCTGTTGGTGTACCATGCACCCTTCTGCCCAACAGACTCCCTGCCTGAGCTGACAGAGATCGTCTCGGGCCTGGTGTTGAGGACCCCCAGGATGCTGGTCCTGGGGACTTCAATCTCCATGCCGAGACGGTTCTGACTGGGGCGGCTCAGGACTTCATGGCCTCCATGATTACCATGGGGCTGTCTCAACATGTCATAGGCCCGAGCCATGAACGTGGACACACGCTGGACCTGGTTTGCTCGACGGGGCAGGAAGAGGGGGATCTGAGGGTGAGGAATTTGTGTCTGACTCCCCTGTCATGGTCAGATCACTTCCTCGTGAGGTTTGAGGTCAATAGTGGCCTTTCCCTCTGTAAGGGTGCAGACCCTATTGTGTTGGTCCGCCCTTGGAGCCAGATGGATCCGGATGGATTCCTGAAGGCTCTGGGGGAGTTTCTGGTTGATAAGGCTGGTGCTCCTGTCGATGCTCTGGTCGAACTGTGGAATGGGGAAATGTCCAGGGCTATTGACATGATCGCTCCTAAGCGTCCTCTCCCGTCCGGCAGAGCCTGTTCATCCTCCTGGTATACACCTGAATTATGGGCGATGAAGCGGGTTGGGAGATGTCTAGAGCGTAGGTGGAGGAAATCACGGGATGAATCTGACCGAACACACTTGCAAGCACATTATCGAGTCTATGCTGTGGTGGTGAGGAAGAAATTCTTCTCCGCTTCCATTGCCTCCTCACAATGCCGTCCAGCGGAGCTCTTTCAGGTGGTACACGGGCTGGTACATCCAGGTCCTAAGAAAGATCCCGTACCGCCCTCGATGGCCTGCTGTGATGACTTTGCCAAGTATTTTAAGGAGAAAATTGCTCAGATTCATCACGAGCTGGACTCCACTAGTGATTCAGAGCCCTCAGGGGAGATGCCAATGTTGCCATCTGGTCCGACATTGTTGGATGAGTTTCAGTTACTGGGGCCTGACGATGTGGACAAGGTGCTTGGTCAAGTATGTCCTACCACCTGTTTATTGGACCCTTGCCCGTTGTGGCTACTGAATAAGCCAAACACAGGATTGGGGCCTGGATCCTGGAGGTGATCAATGCCTCTCTGAGGGACGTCTGGGTACCTGCCCCTCTAGTAGTCCGGCCAGTCCTAAAGAAGGCATCCCTGGATCCAGAGATTGCTGCCAATTATAGACGGGTGGCCAACATCCCGTTCTTGGGCAAAGTGTTGGAACGGGTGGTGACGGGACAACTCCAAGCACTCTTGGATGAAACTGATCATCTGGACCCATTTCAGTCCGGCTTCAGATCCGATATGGTACTCAATCTGCCTTGGTCGCCCTGTCTGATGACCTGTGCAGGGAGAGAGACAGGGGGAGTGCATCCCTGTTGGTGCTCCAGGACCTCTCAGTGGCTTTCAATACCATCAACCATGGTATCCTTCTGGATAGGCTAGCGGGATTGGGGGTCGGAGGCACTGCTTTGCAGTGGTTCCGCTCCTAGCTCAATGGCCGATTCCAGAAGGTGGTGCTGGGGAATATGGCTCTGCGCCATGGCAGCTATGCCATGGAGTTCTGCAGGGATCCATTCTGTCCTCCTTGCTATTCAACATCTACATGAAACTGCTGGGAGAGGTCATTAGGAGGTGTGGGCTGCAGAATAATCAGTATGCTGATGATACCCAGCTCTACCTCTCTTTCTCTACCAATCCAGGTGAGGCAGTGGCTGTACTGACCTGGTGCCTGGCCGAGGTAATGGGCTGGATGATGGCCAATAAATTGAAGCTCAATCCAGACAAGACAGAGGTCCTGTTGGTGGGTGGTTCAGGCTCCGAGGTAGGTGACTTGGACTTTGTCCTGAATGGGGTTGCACTCCCTCTAAAGGACAGGGTCCACAGCTTGAGAGTGCTCCTCGACCCAGAGCTGTCTTTGGAAGCTCAAGTGACTGCAGTGGCGAGGAGCGCTTTCCTTCAGCTTTGGTTGATCCATCAGCTGTGTCCCTACCTGGAGAACGACTGCCTGGCGACAGTGACACATGCATTGGTTACTTCCTGATTGGACTTCTGTGATGCGCTCTACGTGGGGCTGCCCTTGAAGACAGTCCGGATACTTCAGATGGTGCAAAATAGAGCAGCCAGGTTGCTGACGGGGACTGGGCATTATTCTCATATAACTCCAGTCCTCTACCAGCTTCACTGTCTCCCCAATGAAGTCCGGGCTCAATTCAAGGTGCTGGTTATCACCTACAAAGCCCTTAACGGCTTGGGACCTGGATACTTGAAGGAACGCCTGCTTCCATATTTGCCCTCCCACCCCTTGAGATCGGTAGCAGAGGCCCTCCTCCGGGAACCCTCCAGGAAAAGTATTAGGAGGGTGAGTACCCAGAGGAGGGCTTTCTCTGCAATGGCGCCCCACTTATGAAATGCGCTCCCTAGAGAGGTCCGCCTGGCGTCGTCGTTATTTGTTTTTTAACGCCAGGCCAAGACCTTTTTATTTAAACAATATTTTAATAACTATTAATACTATTTATTTATTGGATGAATCCAGATTTTATATTTTGTATGTACTTATCTGTACGACTGTTTGTTTATGATGTTGGAAGCCATTCTGAGGCTTATGCGAATGGGACGGCATACAAAAATTACAAATAAATAAATAAATATTTTTGGAAGTTTTCCAATTTTCCAAGTGTTAACATACACAGATTAGTATGGGGCCCACTGGCAAGTGCCCATCAGACCCATGTGTTAAGACGGCCCTGATGTCCAATCTTTTAAGTGCCTGGAAATGCCACTGCCAACAGGATCCCCCAGACGAGTCAAAGCACACGGCTTCTGGTGGATTGGCAGTCTGCAGGGTTGACCTTGCGGCGCCTACTCCCCACCTTTGCACGCATCTCCCACAGGTAGAAAGAAGTGGGCTCGGAGGAGAAGACCCGCCTCTGCCGATTGCACCCCCGTTTCCCCTCGCTCTAGGCCTGACTCGGCCCACTGCTCAGCCAGGGTCGGGAAAGGGGGTGCAAAGGCGGCACCCCGTCGGCATCGCGAGGGGGACCAAACCGGGAAGCCCCCCGGCGCGCGCACCCCTCGGCGGCCCGCTAGGGGAAGCGGCGCTGAGAGGGGATGCACGGGCGGCCCTCGACATCCGAAATGGGGCGCCGGCAGCCCTGCCCGCTCGAGCCGAGAAAGCCCCGAGCGGGACGAGGCAGCGCCCGAGGTCGAGCGCGAAGGGCGCGCGGCGCAGCCACGTAACCCGAGACGCGCTTTCGGTTCCTGCCGCCAGCCCAGCCCCGCCGAGCGCTGCCAAACAAGCGGGAGGCGGGAGGCGGTCGCCGGCCGCGGCCCCGCAGGACGCACGTGGAGCGGCCGCTCGCCCGGGAGCCCCGTCCCCGGGGACCGGCTCGCCCGTCTGCTGCGCCGAGTTGCCCGCACGCTCCGCTCGCAGCTGCTCCTTCCTCCCGCGGCGAGTCAGCGCCGGGCCGAGAAGCAGCCAATGGCCGCCCCGGCCCCGCCCGGCCGCCCGCCCCTGCACTGCAGGGAGGGGCGGCGGCCGGGGCCGGGGCCGGGGAGGCCGCTCGGCGAGCGTGGAGAGCGCGCCCAGGCGCCCGGGCTGGCCCCGCGTCCCGCCCCCTTCCCCTCCTTTAACACCGTCTACCTCCTCGAGGCGGCTGGCAAGACTTCCTGTCGGCTCGGAGGCGAGAGCTGCGCGGGGCGAGCGCGGCCGGTCTGCTTCGCGCGGAAAGGGCTCGCTGCGTGGCCGGTGGAAGGCACTCCGTCGGTGGGCGAAGTTGGCCGCGGCGTGCACGCGTGCGCGGAGCCCTCGAAGCCGCTGCTGAGCAGCCGCCGCGAAAGGCATTGCCCTTTCTCGCGTTTTAGCGCGGGGATCGCCGGAGGGGAAGCGGCGCCGCTTGGAAGATGCACACGACTCAGAAGGATACCACGTACACCAAGATCTTCGTCGGGGGTCTGCCCTACCACACGACGGACTCCAGCCTCCGCAAGTACTTCGAGGTTTTCGGAGAGATCGAGGAAGCGGTGGTCATCACCGACAGGCAGACGGGCAAATCCCGGGGATACGGCTTTGTAAGTCGGGGGCGCGGGCGCGCGTGTCCGTGTCCGGACTGCCCAGAGCGCGGAGCTGCATCTCCTTAACTAGCCCTAGTAGGAGAGGGGAGGCAGTTCGTGGTATTTCGAAGCTAAAGTCGCCCGATGCCCCCTTGCCCCTAAAACTGGGCAGCAGGTCTGCCCACCGCCGGGCCAGTAAACTTCCTGGAACTTCAGTGAAAATGGTGAGAGTGAAAAGCAGCTCACCAGTTGGAATGATTATGCACACTAAATACCCATCTTTAAGAGAAGGTTGTTCTTTTCATTTTCAGAGGACTTAATACATTTTGATGCATTGTTTCTTTTCTTTGTGTGCTGGAGAGGAAAGTTGTGCCCTGTCCTTGGGAGATTTGCATCGTGCTTGCATATGAAAAGTTGCTAGTGAAATTTTGGCATCAGATTAAGCCAGCTGGTTTCATACTGATAGGACATGCTAGTATTTTTATCTGCATATGCACATGCTACTGTGTCACTGGCTTTCAGTTCCTGCCTGCAAACATTCCTACTGCAGTTTGTCGAAGCTAAAAAGTTGGGCAGGTTTTTTCCTTTGCTAATTTCACCGAAAAATGGAGTCTAAAGTTACCGACTTGTAGTGCTTCAGAAAAGAAGGGGTGATGAGCTCTGAGAGAATCGATCAAAAACGGTGTTACATTTTACATCTCAGTGTTGGAGCACACTATAAGAACCGGCAGGGTATACTAGTTAAGAGTGTTGGATTGGGATTCCGGAGATCTTGGCTCCGGCTAGGTAGGTTCAGCCATGAAGTTCCCTGGGTGACTTTGGGCCTGTTCCACTTCACAGGGGGTTGCTGTGGGGACAAAAGGGAGAGCAGAGAACCAAGCTGGGTCCCTTGCAAGAGAAAAAAGGCAGAATATAAATGCAATAATAATACTGGTATGTGGAAGGACAATATTGGGGTGAATTGAGACTAAAACAGCAGCTTTGATATCCTGTACTGCTTTTAATCAAGGTGACGATGGCTGACCGAGCTGCTGCTGAGAGAGCCTGCAAAGATCCTAATCCAATCATTGATGGAAGAAAGGCTAATGTGAATCTAGCATACCTAGGAGCAAAACCAAGAATAATGCAGCCAGGTAAGAAAGGATCCTATCTTCTGTAACTGACCTCTCATTACGATTATAGAGAATGGAAATTTTCAATCCTATCCTATTTCAGTGGTGCCACTTTGGAATGAGTAGCTTGAGGATTCTGAAAATAACACAATTCTAGGAACACCTCCGTCACTCAGTTCTGCATCTGTGAGCCGGCAAATGAGGACAGCCAAGACAGATGTACCCATAAAAGTTTGACTTAGTTGTCCGAGTGGTATTACAGCCCTCTGAGCCTGAGCTGCAAAGTGTGTCAGGCCTTCTGAGGGCCTGGGTCATTGAAGACACACAGGATATCTGTGACAGGGTGACGTGCTACAAACGTGAAGTGATCTGCTGCTGTTAGAAGATGAGACGCAACTGTGACGTATTTCGTTTTACATGCGCTCTCTAAGAAACAAATGGAAACAGGTGATGCTGGGATACAAAACTATTTTAACAACTGTAACATTGTAGCACTACTACAACGTAGCACAGGACAGGAGAGCCTGGAGGAGCGTTGTCCACGGGGTCGACTTCACGACGAAACAAACAAACAACAAAAAGCACTACTACAGAGTGCATGAACCTAGCTGCATACAAAAATCTTTGCACTCTTCCCCACTAAGCAGATGGTTGGTAGGAAGGTCTCCTAAATGGAGTGAATTCAAAACCATTGCCTTGAAGTACAAGGTGTATGTGCTTTGGAAATGTATGTCACAGTTTTCTCCGCCATATCCAGTTTACTTGTCGTTAAGTTCCATTGATTTCAGTGGGACTGATTCCCAAAGAAATGTAGCCCTAACAAACATTATTATTATTAATGTTTGTAAATAGCCAATATTCAAGAGCAGTAATAGCTAATAGCAAATACCTACAGGAGTTTTTCCTTTATCTGTTTTGTGTGGTACAACTATTAAATCCAATAATCCTCCTCTGGATATTTTTAGTGAATAAAAACTAGAGTGGCTTTATAGTTTATTGATTCTTTATGCTGTCTTATATGAATATTAGAAAACTAAGGAGATCTATTTGCACAATGTGCTCCTATAATATTGGACTCATCATTTCTGGTGCAAACAAGTTGACAGCTTCGTAGTCACCTTGGTTATTCACTGCCATTTATATCAGATTACTGCCAGGCATTTTGTCTGGTGTAAGTTGAAATGACAACTGGAACCGCTTCACATTTCCTAGTAAGATGAAAGTCTCATGGTACATTTACAAAAATGTTTTCTCAGGTTTATAGAATACCAAAATATCTTATAGACTTTCTAAGTTTGATATTTTCCTTCATGAATCACTGCCTTGTCATGGTGAAGGGGCTTGCCTAGCTCAGTGAAACTATGAGCTATGCTGTGCAGGGCCACCCAAGATGAACAGGTCATAGCAGAGAGCTCTGACAAAACATGATCCACTGGAGAAGGAAATGGCAACCCACTCCAGTATCTTTGCCATGAAAACCCCATGGACAGTACCAAAAGGCAAAAAGATATGACGCTGGAAGATGAGCCCCTCAGTTCGGAAGGTGTCCAATATGCTACTGGGGAAGAGCAGAGGGCTAGTACTAGTAGCGCCAGAAAGAATGAAGCGACTGGGTCAAAGCCGAAAGGACACTCAGTTGCAGATGTATCTGGTGGTGAAAGGAGAGTCCGATGCTGTAAAGATCTATACTCCATAGGAACCTGAAATGCAAGATCCATGAATCAAGGCAAGCTGGATGTGGTCAAATGAGAGGACAAGACTGAACATCTTAGGAATCAGTGAACTAAGATGGACAGGAATGGGTGAATTTAATTCAGATGATCATCAGGTATACTACTGCGAGCAAGAATCCCTCAAAAGAAATGGAGTAGCCTTCACAGTCAATAAAAGAGTAGGAAAAGCAGTACTAGGATACAGTCTCCAAAATGACAGAATGATCTCGGTTCAAATCCAAGGCAAACCATTCAACATCACAATAGTCCAAGTCTTTGTCCCAGCCGCTGGTGCTGAAGAGGCTGAAGTTGACTAGTTCTGTGAAGGCCTACAACACCTTCTAGAATTAACACCAAAAAATGATGTCCTTATCATCATGGCGGATTGGAATGCTAAAGTAGGAAGCCAAAAGTTTGGCCTTGGAGTACAAAATGAAGCAGAGCACAGGCTGGTAGAATTTTGTCAAGAAAATACAATGGTCATAGCAAGCACTCTTTTCCAACAACCCAAGGGACGACTCTACACATGGATATCACCAGATGGTCAACACAGAAATCAGATTGACTATGTGCTCTGCAGCCAAAGATGGAGAAGCTCTATACAGTCAGTAAAAACTAGACCAGGAGCTGACTGAGGCTCAGATCATGAGCTTCTTGTTGCAAAATTTAGGCTTAAATTGAAGAAAGTAGGGAAAAGCACTAGGCCACTCAGGTATGACCTAAATCATATCGCTGATGAATATACAGTAGAGGTTACAAATACTTTTAAGGAATTAGATCTGATAGAGTGCCTGAAGAACTACGGACGGAGGTTCGCAACATTGTACAAGAGGTAGCAACTAAAACCATCCTAAAGAAAAAGAAATGCAAGAAAGCAAAATGGCTGTCTGAGGAAGCTTTATAAATAGCTGAGGAAAGAAGGGAAGCAAAAGGCAAGGGAGAAAGAGAAAGATACACTCAACTGAATGCAGAATTCCAGAGAACAGCTAGAAGAGATAAGAATGCCTTCTTAAATGAACAGTGCAAAGAAATAGAAGAAAACAATAGAATAGGGAAGACCAGAGATCTCTTCAAGAAAATTGGAGATATGAAGGGAACATTTCATGCAAAGATGGACATGATAAAGGACCAAAATGCCAGGGACCTAACAGAGGCAGAAGAGATTAAGAAGAGGTGGCAGGATTACACAGAAGAATTATACAAGAAAGAGCTTAACATCCCTGATAACCACTATGGGGTGGTCACTGACCTCGAGCCAGACAACCTGGAATGTGAAGCCAAATGGGCCTTAGGAAGTCTGAGCAGCAACAAAGCTAGCGGAGGACACAGTATTCCAGCTGAGTTATTCAAAATGCTAATAGACGATGCAGTAAAAGTGCTACACTCAATATGCCAGCAAATTTGGAAAACTCAACAGTGGCCACAGGATTGGAACAGGTCAGTTTACATTCCCATCCCAAAGAAGGGCAATGCCAAAGAATGTTCAAACTACTGCACCATTGCACTCATTTCACAAGCTAGCAAAGTGATGCTCCAAATCCTACAAGCTAGGCTCCAGCAGTATGTGGACTGAGAACCACCAGAAGTACAGGCAGGATTTCAAAGAGGGAGAGGAACTAGAGATCAAATTGCCAACTTACGCTGGATCATGGAGGAAGGTAGGGAGTTCCAGAAAAACATCTACTTCTGCTTCATTGACTATGCTAAAGCCTTTGATTGTGTGGATCACAACAAATTGTGGCAAGTTCTTAAAGAAATGGGAGTGCCAGACCATCTTATTTGCCTCTTGAGAAACCTATATGTGGGTCAAGAAGCAACAGTGAGAACTGGACACGGAACCACTGATTGGTTCAAAATTGAGAAAGGAGTTCGGCAAGGCTGTATACTGTCGCCCTGCCTATTTAACTAATATGCAGAGCACATCATGAGAAAGGCGGAGCTAGATGAATCACCAGTTGGAATTAAGAAATATCAACAACCTCAGATATGCAGATGATACCACTCTCATGGCAGAAAGTGAAGAGGAACTAAAGAGCCTCTTGATGCGGGTGAAGGAGGAGAGCGCAAAAGTTGGCTTGAAACTCAACATTAAGAAAACTAAGATTATGGCATCTGGTCCTCTCACTCCCTGGCAAATAGATGGGAAAGAAATGAAGGTAATGACAGATTTTATTATCCTGGGCTCCAAGATCACTGCAGACAGGGACTGCAGCCAAGAAATTAAAAGACGCTTGCTCCTGGGGAAGAAAGCTATGGCAAATCTAGACAGCATACTAAAAAGCAGAGACATCACCCTGCCAAGAAAAGTGCGTATAGTCAAGGCTATGGTTTCCCTGTTGCAATGTATGGCTGTGAAAGTTGGACCATAAGGAAGGCTGAGCGCCAGAGGATTGAGGCCTTTGAATTGTGGTGCTGGAGGAGACTCCTGCAAGTCCCTTGGGCAGCAAGGTGATCAAACTGGTCAGTCCTAGAGGAGATCAACCCTGACTGCTCTTTAGAAGGCCAGATACTGAAGATGAAACTCATATACTTTGGCCAACGAATGAGAAGCAAGGACTCCATGGAAAAGAGTCTAATGCTGGGAACAATAGATGGCAAAAGAAGAAGGGGACAGCAGAGAATGAGGTGGCTAGATGGGGTCACTGGGGCAGTCAGCATGAACTTAAGTGGACTCTGGGGGATGGTGGAGGACAGGAAGGCCTGGAGGAATGTTGTCCATGGTGTCGCGATGGGTCAGACACAACTTTGCGACTAACAACAACAACAACAAATTTTGATATTGGTATTCACAGGCTAAATACTATTTCTTCTTTCAGTAAAAGTTGGCCAGAGTTTAGCCTTGGAACCTTTCTGGGCCCCTGTGCACGTGTAGAATGCATTCTCTCTACAACTGAGTAGCTATGGCCAGACTGCATGCACCTGAGGCTAGTAGAATTGATTCCAGTCCTAGTACTTCTGATTTTAGAAATTATTTCTAAAATAATTATTTTGTTTTCTATTATTTAGGATTTTTAATAGAGAGGGAATGGCTGTACTGCACAGAATTTCAGCAAACCATAACAGCATGTCTGACTCTTCCTAATTCATTCCTATGGCTCACTGAAAGCATTAACATTTGTTTACCTTCTCAGAAATGTCTAAACATATCATTAGTGGATACATTAGATCCAATTTATGTGTCACCATCCTTCTCCTACCTGGCCCCCTTCAGATGTTTTGGACTTCACCTCTCATTTGTCCCAGCCAACATGGACAATGGCCAGAGCTGAAAGTTCTAGTCCCAATGTCTAAAAGGCATTGTGATGGAGAAAGCTGCAATATATGAATATTATATAGTACTATAGAAATACTGTGTTGCAGTATTGATGTAACAACAGAGTAGCCAACTATTATAGCAATTACTTACTTATTTTAAGTACTAAGGAACAGGTTTATTTTATGTTTACATTCCTCTATACATGTAAATCCATAACTAAAAATTAACCTATACGTCTTATGGGAATGTAGTATAAATGCAAAAATTGGGTTCTAGGCATTGAGTGGACTGAGGTCTGAATTCATATCCTTGTAATTGCAATTGGCTGGCAAACCAGAAAAGTGAGTTGCATGTCATAGTTTGGCATGGTGTCTGAATTGACAAATGATAGCTTCAGTTATTGCTGCAGCACTGGAGCCCACTGCTCTGTGGAAATGGGGGCTACCATGGTTACTCAAACTGCTCCATTTAATATGTATATTGAACCATGGCTAGTGTTATATGAACACAGTAGACTCGAACCTCACACCAGTTTCACACATAATGACAACCAGAGTACAGGCTGAATATGAGTTGTTACTGAACTGTGCATTGCTGTTACATGTGAACCCTGCTCTATGGTTTAAGTATGGGTTGTTAGCCATGAACAACTCAGGAAGAGAACCAATGGTTTGTTGTTGGGTTGTGAACTCTTGATTGTTTGTAGTTAACAACCCATATTAAAACTGTTGTGCAGGGTTTGTTTGTAACAACTTACAATTCAGCGATAAGCCACATTCAGCCTGGGTTTCCATTGCATGAAAGTCAAGCCATTGGCTTCTGTACTTCTTTGTCCTCCTCTACCAATGACACAAGTTAGAGATTGAATAAACACATTTCTTGTTTTAAACTAATAAAGTTCATTGTTATGTCCAAGCTGTTCAGAATTCTAGTTAATATAAATTACAGTCTGTTGAACCGAACAAGGACTAAACCAGTCTGTGCAGAGAAAATGTTTCTGATCACCTAACCATAGTCAGGAAAGAAGCTGGCTCACAAATTTCTTCCTTCTCCCACATGAGCGCCTTCCTCCCTCTTATAGTTGGTTTTAATGAGGCATCTACATGCCTCATTACCTCTGCATCAGTTCTAATTAAATCATGATTATGGAAACTCACTCTGAATTATACTTAAGAACCGAAACTGGGTTAGTGTTAACCATGGTTAGTACCAGTGCATCTATAACCCTACATCATGGTTAAAGCAAACCATAAAAAGGGAAGCTATAGTGATATTTGAAAAAGAATACTACTCATTAATTTTAAAACTTGAAAACCATGTTAGATCATGTTTTTCTAATTTGTATGCCTTAAATGTATTAACATTTTTATACATTTTAAGTAATTTATACTTCCTTCATCAAGAACCAGGATGCTACTTGTTAGAATGTATAAGGCCGTAATCCTATACCCATTTACTTGAAAGTAGATTCCATTTTAATGGGGTGTGGTTCTGAGTAGATAGAAATAGGATTACACTGTGAGTGAAGTTAAAATGCAGTGGACATAATGCTCCTGTACAGAATGTGATGTGTTCTGTTACAGGTTTTGCCTTTGGTGTTCAGCAACTCCATCCAGCATTAATACAAAGGCCTTTTGGGTAAGTCTGCTTTACATTAGTATTTTGGGTGGGCAAAAGATAACGTGTACATGATCATGGCCTCTAATAGGGCTGCTGGCAGTAAAAGTATATTTTTCAAATGTTCAGATTTAAAATGCTATCACTTCATTAATAATTCTTTTAATAAGTACTGGAACTGAGTCAAGTGGTCTTAAGATTCATGCTTATCCATGTACTCAAGCAGTCCTTTGCTTGTAAGATCATGTGGTAAAAGAAGGTGTGCCTTTAATCAACAACCCACTGTGCCCCGTTTTTCAGCTTGACTCAATGTTTATTTATCTCTTTCTAATCTGACAGGTAATCTTACAGTTAAAATAACTGATGAGAAGGATATGGTGATAAGAGGTGGAATAGTTCTGTTTGGAATTAAACTCTGTAACCAGTAGACTCAAACACACAAACAAGCTAAATGGTGATTAACGATGCATGTATGTTTTTTCTATATAGTCAATAGATATCCGTGTGCTTTTTTATTTATTACAGTAATGAAGTGGTGTTGATAGCTAAACTGTGTGCTTTTATTTAATTGAAAGAGCTTTAGTGAAAGTTTTTGGTGGTCTTTCCATTTTGGTTTTGTTGAGAAGTGTTGACTTTGCCATGAGGAGCAAAAGTACTTTTTCCTTTCTTGCTTTCAAGCTGTAGCCTGTGAATTCTTATTCTTTGTTAACCGTATTTTGTAGTGAGTGCTAAATTTGTGTGATTTTTTTTTTTAAAGAAAAATCAACATTGCTTGCATGCTGCAGTTTTGGTTTTGTTTCCTGGGCAGGGTGTGGCGCTCTCTCTATTAACCATATGTGTCCACTTGCACTTTCCCACTAGAAAATTTTTAGCCCTGATTAGATTTAATATTTAGTAGATCTATAAGCATATGCAACTCCTAAAAGTCTCTTTGATCTTTTATTCCATAATTAAACATAAAAATAGGAGGTAAAATCTGGCAAAAGTACTTGTAAAATACTTATCAAAGAAGCAAGAGTGAGACATTATAACATGGAAATTTAGTGTTGGGATTATCAACTGGGAAACTCAGTTGGGATTATTATGTCCTATTATGAGATGGCAGCAGTTATGATATTAACTTGTTAGCTGAAGCTTGAAATAGACAGTGACTGGGTTTGCATGATCACTGCATTCAGTGTGGTTTATTTAAGCCATGGTGAGTGCAGTGTGCGCTGGCCACACTTTTTGATATTCAGGCAACAGCGGGCAGTCGCCATAGCTTATTGCATCATGTGAACCTGGTGAGGGTGGGTTGCATTAGGATTAAACAACCCTTCCATAATTCACAGCTGCCATAGCTTGAATATTCAAAATGGCCACGGCACTTGCCACAACTCACTGTGGCTTAACTAAGTGATGATGGGGTATGATGACCATGTGAACTGTCTCAGTGGATTATCCCCAGAGTTATCCTCTTGAGTAGCAGGAGAGAACTTTCACTGCCCAAGGGAATTATAATCCAGTGTATCTACTTCAGTGGTAGGATGGCTGTTTGCATCAATTCTTCCTTCTTCCTTCATTGCTCAGTGCTACCTTGCACAATGTTCCAAGGATTTCCCAACTCACCAAAGGGGAGACTTAATGAGAATTACCCACAGAATCATCCAGTTCATGGAACAACACTCCATGCAACTCTGGATTCACCCACTGCATGCTGTTCCCAGCACTGTTTTTAGCCAGAAGCAGATCCCATGAGTCTGCAAGGGAGGATGGACCTTGTGGGGAAGAGACACTTAACTCTTTCCTCCTTGGCAGTTTTTCCAGTTCAAATTTCCCTACAGGTGTTTTTTCAGTCCTGACAAAGATAAAGGGGCTTCACACTTTTCCCATAAAGGAAAAAGCAATTGCACATATGTGATGGGGAGCAGTCGGAGAGAGGTTGTTAAAATAGCAGGAAGGGGTAAAGGGTTAAGCACTCCCCTCCAGTATTCTTCTGCCTTAAATTTGCAGCCTAAAAAACTATCAAACCTGTTGGGGGAAACTTAAAAGTGCATACAAAATTCCAACTGTAGCCCTGCTATTTGTTTTGAACTGATGTCTTTTCATTTCTCACAACACACACACAACTTCCACAAAATCGTAGAATGTTTTTATGAAGTAAACACTTAAGCATGTTTTTCAAACTAAATATTATGTAAGCCTTACAAAATGATTAGTTTTATCAGAATGGGTGAAGGGGGTGTGAAAGAAAGCATTCTATGTTAGTCTTTAAGACACACCACAAGGCAAGACTCTGTCCTCTGTTAAGGGTAGGCCAGGAGTACCCAGCCAGAGCCATCCCAGGTGTGCTTTCTTGCTTTTTTGTTATTGTGGTTCTTAAAATTTTAAATAGCAGCTGTGGACAGAATGATCACAAATGTACAATGCAAGGAAAACAGTTTGACCCTTCCCCCTCTCACTGCAGTTCCAGTGTTGTGAGCCCCAAAAAGGGTGATTCCACTAGTGCCACTGACAGCTTCCCTCCCAGGACAAATAGAGGCTTCAAGGAAGGCAATTTTCATTAAGATTCCAGCCTGGGAGGAGCAGGTTAACTTCCTCCCCTAACTACATGCTGTGGTTCTGATTCCCTTCCCCATGGCTCCTATCTGCAGTATCAAAACTGGACATGTCAGTTACAGTTACATGATACCCTGTCTGGTTTGGCCCTCAACTAGTCCACTGGCTGGGAATAGCCTTTGCAGAAGACCACAGGGTCCTGCACTTCTAGTAACTCAGTAGAAGGGGGAATTTGTGCAAGTGGAGCCTACAGGAGCAGTTACCCTAGCTAAATTTTCCTTTTCTGCCAATGATTGGTGAGGAACGGGATCGCGTAGATCATCTTGGGCTCTTTGGTGAAAAGGCAAGATAACAATGGAACAAATAAACAATAATACATTATTAAAGAGGCATGAGGGTTGTCCCTTCTTTTTGCATCTGGCCTGTCTACCATTGAGATGGGAGGATAAGAAAACAGTTGGTCCAACTCACAGCATGGCATGCCTAGGAATTGGATAGTTGGTCCAATCTTAGGCACGGCTACTCAAAAGTACATCCCTTTGGGTTCAATGGGACACACTCCCAGATAAACATATACAAGATGGGGCTCTACCATTAGACTGCAACCTAAAAACAAGTTATACAAGATAAGGAATTTTTGGATATTTTGTCAATTGATACACTGATCTAAAGTTTGCACATGCTTGTTACCAACATCTGTTAGCACAATAGCACAGATGATAACATTACCACTGCGGTGTCTCAGATTTGTAAGGGCCCCATGCTGTTAAACTATATGTCCTCAGTCACTTGTGTGGATGAGGAAGGCCATGTATACAGTAATCTATGGCCATGTGGCCACTTTCTCCATTGAAGTCAATGCCTTTATAGTGGTTGCAGCAGGGTGCAAGTGGGGAGATGATGACAACTTTGCAAGCCGATGAAAGTTTCCATGTTCACAAGGATTTGCTGGGTTGAAGCAAGACACTTTAGCACAAAAATGGCAGGGTCAGAGCACTACTTGCAGTCAAGGTAACTGATATACCACCGTAAATATGTTCACTTGGTATATAGAGCAATGGAACAAACATTCAAGTAGGTATGAATAAGAATGCATCCTAATAGCCTAATTCTGAGGAGGCCTAACTGAAATATGTGAAATGAAACATACATGAAACTATACTGATTCATTTGTGTATGTGCAGCTCAGAGTTTGAAGCATGAATTGCCTATTGTTTAAAATTTTAAGGTTCTGTTTTAATTGTGCTGTAAGTGAATCAGATTGAAACCACTTGCTGTATTATAACTTTCAAATCATTCTTACAGTTTGTTTCATATATCTTTGCAGAATGGCATTGGAAGGGATGAATAGTGGGGAAGTCAGCTGGGCTTCTTAAATAATTCTTAATAGGGCTTTGCTGTTTCCTGTTCAAAATCTGTGCGTGTGCGCATGCACACACATTTTTTAAAGTATATTTTTTTACCATTATTTGACAGACAGCAGCCTAGCATGTTCCACAAAGATTATAATAGAAGTTGCTACTGTGCCTTTTGCAAAGAAGAGTGACAGAAGTCCCCTTTCCTAATAGCCTGCCATTTCTAGAATAAAGCAAGCTTGTACTACCAGAAAAGAAAATGGCTGCTATCATTCAAGCTCAACAGCTATGCTGTACTGTAGACACAAAATGCCTTCTTAAAAAGTGTATATTAAATATAGTGAGAGCTTTGCTGAACACCATTTTACCCGAAAGCCATACTTACTTATCTAATACAGCTATGGCCACCAACTTGGAAGACTTTCGACAATAAACAGAGGATAAGAATGTTAATGCTCCTGGTCATGAGGGTAGTATATTGCTTCCAGTAATAGAAGGGATGCCCGTGAATTCCAGTTGTTGGGCAACAAAAGTTGGAGGGTGCTTTTACCCTTATGTCCTGTTTGTGACTTTCCCACTGGGCCTTTGGATTGACCCAACAAAGCTGTTTTAAGTCCTTCTATTTTCAGTTTGTTCTCTCCATTTTACATTTAGTTAGTTACATTTAGTTAAAAAAATCTGCTTAATTTGGCTTTTGGAAACCTTTGTATGACTATACTACTGTGTTCGTGTAATTCTGCATGCTAGATAATGATCATTGTTTTAGAATTAAGGATGGTAACCTTGTGGGAAGGGTATATTTCTAACCTTTTCTGATAGAGTGGTAGCATTCACAATTCCTGCCCTGTCTCAGGTAACCCTTACTTCTAGGATCTTTTTTTTTCTTTAAATGTTGTTCTTTAAGACAAAAGGATGAGCTCACACATGGCTCTGTACCCACTGCAAATCCCACTGTATACACTTTTCCTGCTTCTCTCTATCTCGTGTCACTGTGATACTGCTCAAGTGTATGACCAAATCCCAGTCTGTTCCATCTTCCTTGTAGAATGGAGATTAAGACATGGAGCTGACCTGTTCTCTTACATTTTTATTATTGTTTTCTGGAAAGATAGCAGCAGATAATGTTTTTGTGCTGCTGCAGAGTGATAAGGTTTTTTTAAACTGTTAACATCCCCCCCCCAAAAAAAATAAACCAACAAAACATTATGATTAGAGGGAGTGGTTTGATATAGAACTGAGCATGCGATTACATTTTCTGAAAGAAAGGATCTTTACTGTGCTATGAATAGTCACTCTATTCTGGAAAAGGATGCAACTGTATACTGTATTTATTCACTCTAGTGATACTGTTTTTGAATTTTTTGAATTCAAGATAAGTGTTTCTTATTCATACTACAGTTTGGTTTTCTCTTTCTGTTGCTATTTTTTATTTCCCTTTTACCAGCTGTATTAGAATGTCACAATAAACCATGTTTAATGTGATAGAAACAAAAGTAGCATTGCTTCTGGGTTTGCACATGTCGCCTGTCCTCTCCTCTGGCACAGCTATAAGGAAATGAGTCAAAGCCCTGCTTCAGGTTTTGATCATCCACAGTAGCTAATCTTAACTATGGTTTTGGGAAAATAATCCTGTTTCATAATGCATGGCTTGCTGCAGCTGAGTGGTTAGGAGTGCAGGACTGGGACCCCGCTCTGCCATGGACCTCACTGGGGGACTTTGGGTCAGTCACAGACTCTCAGCCCAGCCTACCTCACAGAGCTGTTGTGAGAATAAGACTGAGAGGAGCAGGAGACTTATGTAAACTGCCTTGAGTTTCTTGAAATGAAAAAGACAGGAGAGAAATATAAACAAAAACAAACAGTAATTAAGATTAGCAACAGTATGGCTGATTCAGATGATACAACAAGCCATGGTTAATCAAAAGTTCAAGTGAGGATTTCTGAGCTGGATGAGAGGAGAGAGGGTAGTATGAAAACCTGGAAGGAGGTTGGGTTCATTGACATTGTTTATTTTAATACTGAACTAGTATCAGAGCTGTAGTCTGACATAGAACTTCAGCTGTAACTTTCCTTACTTAAATGCATTTATTTCCAGTTTTCTAAGGCCTTATTCTCATTTCCGTAGAAATGCTTCCACTGTGATCAATAGGAACAAAACTAGGCCTCATAAAAGCTAACCAACAAGTGATCATCAGTAGCTGAGCTTCCATAACACTTCCATCATTAGTTCTAAGCAGTTGCTAGCAGTGATGGTGTGGTCTAAAATGTGGTATTATGAAATTTAGAATCGTGATTAAAATAGCTGTTTAATGTGACAGACTTAGGAATTGTGAAAAAATAAAATGGAAATGATACAATATCTTTAGCAGTAAAGAGTGAGAGTGAAAGGGCTAACCTGAATATTGTCTATGTGTTTAGCCTCTGATAAAAGGAGAAAAGGCACTTATTGAGAATTTCTACTTTGGTAGGCCAAGATTATGAAACTTTTGATACTTATATTTTTGTTGTAGACATATTTATGGAGACCTAGGTAATGTTTCTGTTTTCATTATTTTCTGTGCTATATAATATATATGTTGCAGCTTACTGTGATGGTTTTCATCACTATAAAAATGATGAAATGAAACTCAGATTAATATAAATTAACTTGTGTATTCAGCAGGGGCTAGTTTTGAATAAATATGCATATGATCATACTATAAACCAGGAATCCAAAACATAGTTTTAAACAAGCTCTGATGAAGTCCATGGGACTTAATTCCAGTTTGCAGTACAATGCTATGCAGGTTTTCTTAAGTAAGCATCTTTACTGTTGCAACCTTACAGTAAGCTTAGTTGTTTTAATGCTCATTCTATTATATGAAAGGAAAATCACTCCTTTAATACCAGAAATCAGAAATTGTGTATGATTCCAGTGTCATTACCATGATCCACTACACGATAAATTCAGAACACCCCTTAAGCTATTGAACAAAGATGCCTCAGCAGCTTAATGGGAAACTGCTCTTTAACATTTTGACCTTGCTGAGCATAAAAGGAGCTAGCGTTTCAGTATCATGACAATCTCTGCATGCTGGCCTTTCCAACAGATGGAAGTTTACTTTGGCCTTATAAAGTCATTTTACTCAGCTGGAAGCCCTTGTCGCATGACAGATGATCAAAAATAGACCCACTGCAGCTTGTCCTGTCAATCACCGTGTGCGACATGGCATAATAGTGGGGCGCCTGCAAAGAGTCCATGCATATTGTAGACTAAGAGCTTCTAAAGGGATAAAGTTTCATAATTCCCCACCTGTTAGCTTCTTGGCTTAAAAGAAACAAATCACAAGAGCCTATGTCCATGTATGTGGCTTGATGTTTTTTTTTTATTTTATTTTTTTACAAGAATGATGTAAGTCCTGAGAGCCATGAGGTCTGTGTTTCCACAGACACAGAAAGCTGGAGAGAAGTTGTTTTCGCTCTCTCCTGCCAACTGCTGTGATAATTTTCATATGATAGTTAATGATCCCCTCTCTGCTAGAGTTGACAGAAGTAAACCTCTGGAATTACCTTTAAGTGAATAGTATAGTCAAATGCTCTAGGAACTTCTGTGTGGTCTAAAAACAAAGCCATGGATATTGATATGGACTTCAAGTGCACAGAAATATCTTTAGTGTGCACTCAAAATTAAAAGTGATGAATCAATATCAGTATATTTGACAAGCTATGAGGGTCATTGATTATTAAATAAGATTTGCTTTTGTTATTTTCCCACCCCGTTTCCATGTGTTATTCTAACGCATTGCAGTTCTTGCATCCCAGCTAGTGAGAGATTGATGATGTAAATATTTTCCTTAAAGAATTAATTTTTCACTGTTTTGAGTTGCAATCACTGAAGGTGGGAGTGATTAGTTGTTAAACAAATAAATCCTGACTTTCAGTGTCTTAAAATTATTTTTTAGAGTTGACAGCATTGTTGAACTGAAATATTTCCTTAATGGCAGCTTTAAATGTCATTTGAAAATAACTTTTATTTAAATACATATTTATTAACCTTAACTATATTTATATAGGGTGTCCAGGTGGAGCTGACTTATGCAACAGCTGGAAAGGAAAACTTTTGCCATTGCATGAGAAGTTGAAAGCTTTTATTTTGCATCTGGAGCTGTGTGTGTGTGTGTGTGTGTGTGTGTGTGTGTTGGATCTCATTAAAGCTGCATTTCATGTGGGCAAAAGGATTTGTGTTCCTCAGTGAATCTGAGCTGCAGGTCAAAGCTCTGAAGATGCTAAAAGTTGCTGGAAATAATACATGTTGGGTTCTATGTGATGTGAGGGATCAATCAATGGTCATATTTATATGGCATGCGGGGAACTGAGAGCTGGTATACACTAGCAGCTCAAGCATATGAGCTCTGAGAACCTTATTTCAACTCCTACTGCAGGCATTTACTCACCAAGTGACCTTTAGGCAAACTGTCATCTCTTAGCTTCAGCCCTCCACCTATCACAGTCCTAATCAGCCTTGCAGAGTTGTTTGTAAGCATTACCAAGATGATATATATGAAGCACTCTGAGCATTCACAATCATATACAAATGTAGTATTTTGAGATGTGATAGCATGGCCACAACCATCAAGATTAACCTGTAACAATATACATTGTGATGGATATTGAAGTATGTACTTAACTGTGGGGTTGTTGCTCAAAATTTGTTTCTGCTTCTGTTAAACACTAGATCTACCTGAACATAATCATGCCCCTGCTCTCCCCACCCCTTCCAAAGCTATGTCTTGTATAGAAATAAACAAGCTGGCACAAAGCAGGAGACCTGGCCTGATAGGTCACAACAGGTTTGAGTTTCATGGCCTTATAACCTTTTCAGAAGTGTGATGCACACCTACCTAGGGATCACTGTTACGTATTTTAATGGCATCTGTGTAGCTTCCCCTTGGTGGCCGTTTGTGACAGAGTGAATTGCACTATAGTTCGTTTGAAAAGTGTGATTCTTGCTGTGTTTACCACACTTGTGAACTTCTATTTAAACTCCTTTGTCGCCTGTGGGTTTTTTATTATTATTTTTTAATCAGGGTGACTGAGGTTGCAGAGGAATTAATGTGTGCTGAGTCTGCATAGCAATTCAAGTAGGGTTGCCACGATACAACTTTTATTACCCTAGATCAATATATTTGTGTAACACATGGGTAATGTGCTCAAACAAATACAGAAGTTCTGTAAACTCTTAGTATCTCATTGTCAAACTAAACTTATGTTATTACAAAAACCAGCTGTGTTCTATGGATGCTAAGAATGTTGTAAACCCTCAGTAAATTAGCAAGTATTAGGGGAAAATGAGTCACTTTTATGTTTATGTGACTTTACATTCTGTATTCTCCATCTAGCAGTTAGAGATCACATTTATTCTTTTTTAACTAGATGTACCAGACATCTCAAGGTTCCTCTAACTATTTGAAAATTATTGGTAATGTGGCCATACACTAGTTATGGTCAGTTATTGATAAGTCAGTGCTAATGCTGTGACATGCAGTTTTGATTTTTTTTTTTATAATGGCTCTCACTTTTGGCTTCTAAGAGGATCAATTTGTCTATTGGAGCGAGCTATTGTGGCAACCCTATGCATATAACAACAACTAAATTTGAGTTTGTTTTTTGTTTTGTTCTTTTAGTTCTGAATCTGGAGGTGATACGTAATTGTGAAATCTAACTTTGTCTTCTGTTTTTTAACAGGATCCCTGCTCATTATGTATATCCACAGGCCTTTGTGCAACCCGGAGTAGTCATTCCACATGTCCAGCCTACCGCAGCTGCTGCCTCCACCACACCTTACCTTGACTACACTGGAGCTGCATATGCTCAGTACTCAGCCGCTGCCGCCGCCGCTGCTGCAGCGGCAGCCTATGACCAGTATCCCTATGCAGCATCCCCAGCTGCTGCAGGATATGTCACTGCTGGGGGTTATGGCTATGCAGTCCAGCAACCAATCACTGCAGCAGCACCTGGGACAGCTGCTGCAGCTGCTGCTGCTTTTGGCCAATACCAACCACAACAGCTGCAAACAGATCGTATGCAATAGCAGATGGACCTATGAAGAAAGTTCTCTTTCTTATTCTTTCTATGTTGTTACCTTCCAGCCTTCCAATAGAAATAGTTTTAAAAGTGGCAATTAAACATAACTCATCCAGCTTTAAGGAAAGCTACAATGCAATATAGTATTACAAAAGCAAATGCCACTGTCTTTGTACAGTATGCATCCATATTATGGGTGGTATTCTGGGGTGGATATTTGTAAGGGTTCATAATATCAGCCCAGGCATCATCCTATCATGAAAAGATGACAGAAGTAACAAAAGAAGCTTACATTAAACAGAACAAAACGAAAAAAGTAGAGATGCATTTTACAGTATCAGGGAAAAAAGTCCAGGTGAGCAATATGTAGCCTTTATCAAGTTGAAGATGACTATTTAAATGTTGAAAGCACTGACTCTCATTGCTACTTTTCATTATAGCCTGCAGAACTTTCTTTGAATAATAAGAAAATATTTCCTGACGATCTCATAATGGGCATCGAACAAACTAAGGAACGTGGCCTTTGGGGGGAAAAGGGTGGACAGGCACCAAAGTTATTTTCTCATCTGTCCTCTGTATGAATGGGACTATGGAGCAAGTGGTGTGGAATTAATGGGTGCAACAGCTGTACAGACAATCAATAGCACAGACCGTTCTGGAAAGAACACATCACTTGTGCTTGTTTGATGAGCTTGTCACATTCTAATCCCTCTCCCCATCCTGTTTCACTTTTAGGAAACTTTGACTGCTGGTGTCAGCTATTCTGATTCTGAAATAGGATCAGCTCTTTACTACAACAGCCTCCTCTTTTTATTTATTGTATCTATTCATGGCTTGCGAATAAAGGCAGGAAGAAATTTGCTGAATTTAAACCTTTAAGAACTGTGTTAAAGGGGGTTTTTTAAATGATTTGTGCACAATTTAATACCTATTTAAATATTTATTTGCAAAACATAGCTCTTTTTCATGAGTCAGCTTGTGGAGATTGCAGTTCTTCAAGGGTTAATGCTATGTGGGCTATATTGTGCCTTAATTGTAATGCTATTTAAAGATATATTTATTTTGAAAATTCTACTATGCTGCGCTCTAAAGCAAAAACCTTAGATGTGAAATTGTAAAATTATGTATTCATCTCATTGTATAAGTTATTTAGCAGGGTTAGCTATAGTATCTAAAATATTAACCTAATCAACTAAGATGCTGACATGGGTTTATTTAAATTCAGTAAGTACACCATTTTATAATGGTACTTTTAAACATGTTTTTAAAGGTTTTACTCTTAAAAATGCTAGTTTCATGATTTTCCCTCAAGCTCTTTGTCCATAAAAACTGTTTTGTTTTTTTGTTTTTTTAAGGAAGCAAAATTTAATTCCTTTGAATTGAGAATTGGTAAAAGGATCTGACCATAAAGCTACAATATTTCAAACACTTGATTAGGAGAAGGCCTGATGAATGCATTGCTGTTGTGTAAGAGGAACCTCTTTTTTGTGTTATGGTCACAACAACGATCTCTGCAAATGGGCACCATTCGAATTGGATAAATGCTGTCCGGGGGAAAAAAAATGTATGTCCAGTCTGTGGGATCCTGTTTGCAGATAGTACTGCTACTACCAGGACCCAAACCACATAGGAGGAAAAAAACACATGCGCACCAGAATAGTAGCCTGAGCCCTACTGATCATGCTGGGACTTGGTCCCAACCATACATATGAAAGACTGGGGCTGAAGCCCCAATCTGAAATGCAATATATTGAAATAAACTCCCACAATATGATCCACGTAATGTGTTCAGGGTGGGTAGTTACTATTTTCTCCTACAAAAAGATATAGGTAGTTTTTCACTCTCATCTCTGTATAGATCAACTCTACTTCCTTTGCTAGGAAACGCTGCTTTACATTGTCCTGTGAAACTGCAATAACTTGCAATTTTTATTCTTGACCTAAAATGGAATTTAATATTTTACACTGTATTGGAATCTTTTTATACTTGAACAATTTCATACAAGGGAAGACAGGATAGCATTTTTATGGACTTTATCCAATATCACTGGATTTACTTTTAATACTAGCCAGTGTTATGTACTAAGGTCGATAACATGACTTTCATATGCATGTTATTTATTGTGTATATTGCTTTATAATGTTTCAAATCTTTTAATCTATACACTTGTATTAAAAAAAACAATAAAACATTGTTAAATCCACCCTATTTTCAGTTGTGCCAAAAACATTTCTTAGTACTTCAGGATGTCTTGATCTGTTTTCTGATGTTCCTGTATTGCAACCTTCCCCTGCCTGGTGCCTACCAGATATGCTGGACTTGCAACCTTTATCATCCGCATGCAACATGAGCTTTGGCATGCTAGCTAGGGATAATGAAAGTGGGAATCAAAGACTTCTGGAAAGTACCAGGTATAGGAAGGCTGCTGTTCCTCGTGAAGAACAAATCTGCTTGTTTCAAAGATACAAAACAAGACAAATGAAATACCCCTTAACTTACTGTATTAATCACTGCTGTCAGTGTTTAAGGCTAAAGCAAGTTCTACAACATGTCACAAGATATGGTGGTACATTAGACAAATTCAGGCCTAGCAGCATCTGTTCATAAGTAAAGCTGGGTGTCCATATTCTGAAATAACATACATTTGTCTCTGGTGTTACATAATCAAACAAGGGATAGCCATTACCTTCGTGCCTTGCTTGTGAGTTTACAAGTTATATGCGAGACTGTTTTTGAGAACATTATGGAAGCTACACAAACCTTTGGATTTTACCGGAGGAATATAAATCCAATCAATAAATTGTCTGACACAGTAATAAGGGAAGCTTATGGATTGTATCAGGTCCATTTGAGGATAGGTAAATAAAAGGCAGCTAGCAATATGGAGGCTGCATGTCAGTTGCATGTATCACATGTCATGGAAATTCATGCATCTTAAACAAGATAGACATGAATTGTGAAGAGAGCTGAATTTTTGGAGAAAAACATACAAAATATGTGGTAGGATAAAAGCTAAAAAACATCCAGAATTCTTTGCTTTGTGCACAATAACTATAGGCTAATTTAATAGCACGATGCAATAACTGTATACCGATGATGCAACATCCACAACATTGCCAATAGAAGGGAAGCATTTTGGTCTTTTAGTGATTAAGCTACAAATGTTATTTGTGAATGATTTTAGAATCCTAGAAAAGTAGAGTTGGAAGGGGCCATGAAGGCCATCAGGTCCAACCCCCTGCTGTTGCAGGAGACCAAGTCACACCATCCCATTTTAGTTATTTTGCTGCTCCCTTCAATATTAGACTATTTAAGTGATTAGTTTCATATAGGTGAAACAAAGTTTGAGAGAGACTTCGTTTAAGACACAGAAGAAAAGGTATAGTGTCATTTCTTAATGTCTTTCTGTGTGTTGTGATATGGCATATTTAGATTTTTTAAAAGTCTGGGAAATCATGCGGTAGGTTTCATTGGTGCCCTTTGAATTGTTACATGTAGGATTAGTGCCATTAAATTGCGTGTTAGATTCCCTGTCTCATCCTTTAAAGCTTTAATAGGAAGATTTGTCAATTTTCAGCATGGTTCAGGTTCTAGTCCACTGGAATGTCTCAGGTGTTTTCAGCTTAGTCATTTAGGATGCATCCTAAAGCTGTGGTGCTATGGATGGGGAAGGAAGGAAGCTGAAGTGCCACCAGGGTATGTCATACGCTGTGGACCCAGGCTCCACCTTTCCCACCTCCTGGAATGCTGCCTTCACACCTTCTCTGAGGAAGGTTTTAAGACCTCAGATGCACAGCCAACATGGTTCTTTCCATGACCCCTTCCCTGGGTCTCATTCCTTTTCTGTGATAGCCACTTGTGGTTTCCGGACAAGAATAGGATGCACGTTGCTTGTTGCTTTCCATTTTAAACTTGCATGTTGCTTTCCCATTCTAAAATGCCTGAGATGCCTTGCCTTGGACTTCCTGGAATTAATAACATTAAGCTAAAATATGGTAGCATATTTGGCCCTATCCATTTTGCTTTTGACCCAGCTGACCACTATTAAGTCATTTCAGAAAGAACTGTCCTGACTTAAGAAATGCTTTATTGAAGAATTATTGCTTATCTAGCAACAAATAATTTTGAATGTGTTTATCATTCAGACACCTGAATTTGCTCAGTCAATTGGTCCATCAAGGAATAAAAATCCTTGTACCATTAAACAAGCATAAAGCTGTGATCCAAAAATACTTAACTGGGAGAACACCCTACTGAATTCAATGAAGCTTATTTCTGAGTTGTCATGTATAGTACTGTGGTGTAGGTAGATTCTTTTTCCACATATGATCTATTTCTAAATATGTTACCTACAACTAATGAACAACAATGCAATATATCTCTACTCAGAAGTAAACCCCATGGAATGAAACTCCAAGTACATCCCATCAAATTCACTGAATTCAGTTTAGCTTAAGAAACAAGCACATAAAGGGAGACATGATGGAAGGGTACAAAATTATGCATGGTGTGGAGAAGGTGGATAGGTAGACTTTTTTCAGCTTCTCTCAATATTGGAACCTATGGTCAGAAAAGATTTAGGACACACAGAAGGAAGCAAGTCTTCATCCAGCACATAATTAAACTTTGGAATTCATTTCCACAAGATGACCCACAATTTGAATGGCTTTAAAATGGGATTGGCCATATTCGTGGAATATAATGTTATCAATGGCTACTAAGTTTTGATGCCAGTGTATTACTTCCAGTATTACAGATGGGATGTTTCTGTACACCAGTTGGTGGGGAACATCTCTCTGTTCACCCACAAAGCAATTAGGCTGCTAAGAAAAAGAAGGCCTCCACTGGGGTCAATTGAGGGTTTGTTTGTTTGTTTGTTTTTGGAAAGCCTAGTTGCATGTGTGTGCATATATATGAAAGAGTATGTGATGTGTAGAAATGAATATGAGTGTTGTGTGGGGGGGAGAGTGTGTATAAGACAGAATGCAGGGCTTGCTTCTGCTATGAGGTCCCTAGAAGTTTCCCTGAAAGGAATACATCTCTTGGGCTTAAAAGGCTTTCCACTGTGTCTTAGAACCTGATCCAGTGGTTTTCTGTATAATTCTCACCTTTTGCTGGTGGCACCAGGCCCCTATCCTCATTAGCAACTGCTTCACAAACGAAGAGCTGTGCTTCACAGACAGATGCATGTATCCAGCAGCATGCAGATTAGTCCGATAATGCTTTTCTAAGCTCCGGTTTCATAGTACATACTCAGCCTTTGAGAATTGCTTTATACTGAGGATATGTAATGTAGACTCCTGTTACTAAAAACATAGATTGATTATGAAATAAGGATAACTTGCAGTTCTGCATAACTTTCAAATGCTATCAATAATCCATGACATGTAGAATTCTATTAATAAGAAATGTTGTTATGTGGAAAAGTCGAAGACCATGGTGTCCTAGTTCCAAAGAAACTGAATACACACTGTGACACAGCATCTTACCTTTCCACATTAGATCATCTAATATATTTGACACACAGAAATTAAAATGTGACACACTCACACTAGCCAAAATATGGAAGATGATTTAAATAGAAAAGACTAATGAAGTCCCATGGATGCAACATACTTAACTAAGACCTTCAAAACATTTTCATCACATTGAAAGCAAGGACAATAAATTGGGAAACAGCATGTTGAAGTTACAAAACAAAATAATTTTGACTGTGATTCCAATTCATTTTCCAAAATGTTGGAATAAAAATGATAAGGTAAAAGGTAAAGGTTTCCCCTTGATGTCAAGTCCAGTCATGCCTGACTCTAGGGGGTGGTGCTTATCTCCGTTTCCTAGATGAGGGAGCCAGCGTTTGTCTGCAGACAGTCTCCATGGTCATGTGGCCAGCATGACTAACCACCAAAGTGCACGGAACGCTGTTACCTGCCCACCGAAGTGGTACCTTTTTATCTACTTGCATTTGCATGCTTTCGAACTGCAAGGTTGACAGGAGCTAGGATGGAGCAACGGGAACTCACCCCGTTGTGCAGATTTGAACTGGCGACCTATTGATCAACCAGCCCAGCAGCATAGCGGTTTAAACCACTGCGCCACCTGCATCCCTATAAAAATGATATAACTCAATAAAAAGACTATAAAAATGGAAACAATAAGAAAGAATCAATTTAAAGTAAAAAAATGGAGGGTGCAATTCTATTCATAATAAGATAGAACTTCTAGCATTTCATAGCCAATCATGTGGCTGAAGGATACTGGGGACTGTGGAACTTTTTCTGTCTAGACATGCATAGGATTTCACCCTAAAAGAATTAGGACAATCTTTTTAAATAAGTAAGATGCAGATTAAATTGAGATAAATTTGCGGGAGGGCAACAATGAAAGCAGAGGTCTCTAATCTTTTATTGGCCAATGGGCACATTTGAAATCTTGATATCGCTGTGGGTGCACTCACAAAATGTCAGCCATGGTGTTTAGAGCCTATCAGAAAACATCCATTTCTCAGAAGGCAAACAGGTGAAGCTAAAATAAAAGTGACTTGCCCCAAAACCTAAGAAGAAAGCAGAGGTGGGGAAGTGTCAAAAGGGGGAAATGCTCCTGAACATGATTTTCTGCTCCACCAACTATTGCATAGAAAGGAAATGTATGTGGCTCAGGGACAAGTAACTTGGGCAACAAAGTGAGTACAAGACAAGGGCGGAGTCTGTGTCCCAAATGCCAAATTGTGTATTTGGCTCCACAAAGCACAGGAACATATCCATGTGCCCAGTCGTGAGCTGGAGATGCTCAGAAAAGCATACTATATTCCACCCAAAACACTAGGCAAGACACTGCTCCCTCTTCCTTGCTGGGACATCCCGTCATCACACTCTTACATGCCTTTGTTTGTGGGCATTTCAGAACCAGGTGTTGGGCTGCAGCTGTCCATCATTTTATTTTGCAAAAACACCTTTGCAGTATGCCAGCTTTCCAGTTAAACCCTTTAAAATAAATTAATAAATGAATAGCCCAACCCTTACTTTAGAAAACAATACTCTGAGCTCAGACCATATATCCTAGTCATTAAAACAATGTGAATGTTTGCTATGAGAAAAGCATACAATTCATCCCTTAAAAACCTGCTTGTCCTCCCGAAGGCTGGCTTGATTCCAGCAGAACAGAATACCCACAAACACATCAGCCATTTTCAAAACTGATGACACTTAAAA